ACCATGGCTCTCAGCATTTTATCTTGATTTCCTCTTTTCTAATGCAACCCTTCAACTTCAACAAAGATTTCAACTACCTTCCTATTAAAATAGGGTGAAGTGGAAAACTATTCAAGTTGTAGAGTTTTCTCTTGCCTTTTCAATGGTCTAAAAATCACCTCATTTGAAATTTTATAAAAAAAAAAAGTTATGGTTGAAATACCGAGACATGTGTAGTGAAAGTCTACATTTCATGAACACCCAAATTGATAATTTTTCACCTTTTTAATTGTACAACTACAAAATCAGCAAATTAATCAATAATAACACATCTTAAGCACATAAAAATCAATTTAAGTATCAAATTCACTAAGATTAGATTGACTCATCTACTTAACTAACTTACAGTAAATAAATAAAATCTAATTAATTTCTATGCATTACTACAAGAATAAGCTAAATTGCTATCAAAATTATGTCAAAATAACCTTATATCATAGAGTTATCACCCACTACCTAAGTCTCATAAAACAATTTTTTGTATTTTAAAATATCTTTTCATGATTTATTTATCTAAAAACTTTTTAAAAATTACTACTCATTTCTCGTTACTATAATCTAAAATATTAGAATTAAATAAAATATAATCTTGCGTAACAAATTACCAAGTACAACAACTAACAATTTGACAAAGTTATATTTATTAATCAAAACTAAGTATAAGCATATACAAACCACATAAAGTTAAATACAAAAATTAAATAATCAAATAATATATCTACAACATAAATAAATAAAAGCTCATAATTCCAAATTATTAATTGACATTGAATACTATTTTCTATTAACTAGATTCTATTAATAGCTAGGCTGGTACATAATTTTCTAGCGCTCACATTATAGGGAAAGATCAGTCGTTTAAGACATGTTAGCACTGAGAATCTGTGGATGATGGAATAAATTGGAACCTAGTTTAGTCTGAATATTATACAATATATGATCATCAAAATGAGAGGAGCCGTCCTATGGGATAAGACTACCCTACCATACGAAAACATCATATCAGCTCTAGTTAAGAAGAAAGAGATCTGGAGCAATAGATATCTAGCTGATTAGACCAGTCGCAAGCTTTGTACTCTGTTTATTGGATGGCTTCTAAAAAGGGGATATGAGATAAGTGTTGATCAGTCATTCAACTCTGTCGAAGGCAGCCTAGTTCATCCTACCAATGATTCTTCATTCAGTGGTCCATCTAGAGTTGTTTCAGATTCTATTTCGAATGATGTGATGTATAATATGCTTGTGAAGATTGATGAGAAACTTAATAACCAAACTGACAGAATGCAGACATTAGAATTGAGGATACAGAATGTTGAGAATCTTTTAATGTAAAGAACAAATACAGTTGATCGGGCAGCAATAGTGCAGTTAAAAGAAACAGACAAAGATGAGTTTCTTCGACATAAACATCAAAGAAAAAGAAAATAAGTTGTCATTGGTTTTGGATGAGTCAAGCATAATAGATGAAGATTCATATTTTGTGAATTGGGATAAATGAATCGTTAACTAGATTAGGGATACTGTAATTTGTTTGCTAAACAATTTATGGGATATTTGGTTTTTTTTATTTGCTC